CCCACCCCAGAGCCCCAGTCTCTGAGCCAGCAGGACTCCTCCTGCCTGCCTCCTAGGTCCTTGCCCCGCTGCCCGCTCCTTGGCAGCCCCAGAGCCCCACTAGCCTCAGCTAGGAGCCAGGGAGAAGCGCCAGGCCTGCCGTCTGGCCATGTCCCAGGCGCTGGGGGCAGGCTGGGGTCTCCGAGTACAGCAGGCCTCCCCCTAGGCCCGTTCCACCCCTTGCCTCCCACGAAGCCCCCTCCCCACCCCCCAGGCCCCAGCTCTCCCACCAGGGGTGGCTCTGAGCACTCAGGACCCCTGCCCATCCGAGGCCGCCTCGCTGGGCCCATCCCTCACCCTGGGGACCCCCAGACCTGGACGCAGAACCAGAGTGAGGAGGGAGGTGTTCGGGAGTCAGGTGGGGCGGGGTGTAGGCCAGCAGGTGTAGTGAGGGGCATGGCTTTGGGGAGCCATGGGGGTCCAGGCTGTGAACGCTCCACGTTTCAGCAAACACTCTTTGAGCACCGATTCCGTGCTGGCATCCGGGGGAGCGAGAGGCAGGCCCTGCCCTCCTGGACCAGAGGCCTCAAAGCACAAGTTCAGACATCAGGATCTTAGGGGCTGGGGATTAAGAGACAGAGGCCCCTGAGCCGGGCCAGGGTTGACCCAGAACGGGCAGGGCAGGCAGGGCTGCCACACGTGCAGAAGGAACAAACAGCGTGTGCTCCAGCCACCACAGGGCGCGTCCAGGGGCTGAGAAAGGCCAGGGGCGGCGGACTGGCCCGCCCTGCAGGCTCCGCGGGTCCCAGCCAGGGAGCTGAGTGCGGTGGGAAGCTCAGACAGTCCTAGGCGAGCAGCAGTGACGCTGCTGGGGGGCTGTCGTTCAGACACTGGGGCCGCAGGGCCGGGCAGGGACCGGGCAGTGCCGAGGGCCGGAGCGCAGAGAGCTCGGGAGGCAGGTCCTGGGTAACAAGGCCAAGCACGGGAGGAGCCGCTGCTAGTGGGCACCTGGGAGTGACCCTCGGGGGCACAGTGGGCACGACTCTAGGCATCGTGGGGCCAGTGGTGAGCCGAGAGGAGGGGCCCCAGGCGTGGACGGGCATGGTGGGCACTGCAGAGGAAGGCGGCCAGGTGTCACCTCCCGCCCGGCCTGGGCACCCTGTACCGTCGGGCAGGCACCCTGCTCTCTGGCGTCATGCAGAAAAACAACACCGGCAGCCAACAGCACTGTGACTCGGGAGGTCAGTGTCACCCAGGAAGGCACAGACCCCGGGGAAAAGGGGGCACGGCGGGGAACAGCAGGGACGGGCCCCCAGGGGCCGCATTCAGTGATGACCCTGCCGCCCGCCGGCGCTGGGCCTCATCTCCCATGGGGCCCACGGGGCCGCAGGGAGGACTGCAGCAGGGCAGGGAGCGGGGGAGGCAAGGCTGGGCCCGTGCCTCCTGCCCCGACAGTCGCCGCGAGCAGCGTCACCGGGCATTTCTCCACCAACGGCCAGAGCGCCGGGAGTCTGACAGGGAGGAAGGAAGCAAAGAAACAGCCACTTTTAGGCCCCAGAAGACGGAGGAGTCCTCCGTGGGCCTCAGCCTCACTCAGCCTCTGAGCTGGTGGCACAGCGCGCACGGACCCCGGAAGGAGTGGACCCGAGGTGGGCTGGGCTGGGAGCTTGGCGGGTGTAGCCGGACAGCGGCACGCCACCAGCCAAGTCACCCACAGACGCCCAGGCACCCCTGCCCAGCTCTCCCTGACCCTCCTGCCGCTTGCAGACCACCAAGACCCTCTGGGCTCAGGGCTCCTCACCCCCACCTGCAGCTACTACCCTCCATGAGGCCCACACGGGAGCCCATTGGGAGCCAGCGCAGCCGGGAGCCCCTTTATCACACGCCACCTGCGTGCGCGGCGCCCAGGCTTCTCTGGGGAGCGAGCCAGTGCCTGGAGCCCGGCGGGCAGACCTGCAGGTGCCGCGGGACAGACGACGCCACGGACAGCCGGGGCCCAGCTCACCCAGCCCTGAGCCCCACTCCCGGGACCCCATCTCCCCAGGGACCTCCCGGCTCCCGCCGCCTGCAGCCGCCCCCCACTCACTGCCCTTCCACGTGTGCGTGTGCCTGGGGGCGGGGCCTCATCCCCACCGTGTCCCCAGCCCCAGCAGGTGACAGCTTAGAGAGGTCCCTCTGAGGCAACCAAAGGAAGGCACAGTGGGGATGGCGGAGCTTGTGCAGCCCAGGAGCAGCCCTGCTGGCACTCCCCGCCATGCCCCGGGCCCGGCTCACCCCAAACATGCTGCCGGCCACAGCCCTCGAGCAGAGCTGGGCAGCCCCACACTGACCGCAGGCCCTGTCCATGCAGGCCTGGACGACAGCTCCTTGGTGCCCCCAGGCCTCCGGAGGCTGAAGGACTCCCCGCAGACAGGTGAGGGTCACAGCAGCCCCCTGTCCCCGTGTCCACCGGCCACGGCCCTGCTACAGGGTAACCGTGTCTGGTGTTTCCACGAGGGGCTCCAGCTACGGAAGAGCCTCAGACCACCCTCACCTGGGGGATACGAGCCCCTGCTGCTCCTGCTGCCCCTGCTGCCCCTGCTGCCCCTGCTGGATGGGGGCTAAGCTGCAGCTTCATGTCCTACAGCCCCCAGGGCTGATGGCGCCACAGACCCCAACCACAACAGAGGCCTGCGCTCCCGTAGGCAGGGGATGGGTGTGGGGCTCGGGGCCCTTCTCCTGCCCACCCCAGGAGGGCCTGGAAATTGGGAGGCCTCTTGTCTGCCAGCATGGGCTCCCAGGGGCCCCAGACCTGCCCCACCAGCCGGGAGGACGCAGGGCCCCGAGACCCTACCCGCTCCCTCCGCAGCTCCAGACAGGGGCTGGTGCTCCACGTGGGGGCCCGGCCATTTCGCCACCTTCGATGGCCACACTTACGACTTCTCGGGGACCTGCAACTACATCTTTGCGGCCATGTGCAAGGATGCCTCGTCCACCTTCAGCGTGCAGCTACGGCGAGGGCCGAGCGGGAACATCTCCCGGGTCATCGTGGAGCTGGGGGCCTCTGTGGTCACCATGCAGAAGGCGGCCATCTCCGTCAAGGACGTGGGGTAGGCTGCAGAGCCGGGCCGGGCGGCTGGGGCCCCGAGGGGCGGCCGCTGACTGCTGTCACCCTGCAGGGTCGTCAGCCTGCCCTACACCAGCAACGGGCTCCAGATCACACCCTTCGGCCAGAGCGTGCGGCTGGTGGCCAAGCAGCTGGAGCTGGAACCGGTGGTCATGTGGGGTCCGGGCGCCCACCTCATGGTGAGGACGCGGCAGGGGACTGGGCGGCGGAGCTGCCCTCCTGGGGATGGGGGCCCTGAGCCCGGCCAGGAGCCTGGGCTTTTTGTTGGCTCAGTTCCCTCCGTCGAGCACGAATGGAGGTCCCCTGGGAGGAGCCGGGCGGGCAGACCCTGGGGTGGCATGGTGCCAGGATCCTCCCCGTGAGGGGTGCTCTGGGCCCCTGGAGCAGGCGTGAGCAGCTTCCGAGGGGTCCTGGGGCCCTGGGAGTCCTGTGCGCCTCCCCGCCCACCCGACAGCGGTGCCCGACCCCTCCAGGTCCTGGTGGAGAAGAAACACATGGGCAAGATGTGTGGGCTGTGTGGGAACTACGACGGCGAGAAGGCCAATGAGTTTCTGAGCGAGGACGGTAGGTGGGGGGAGGTGGTGGGGAGACCCCTCTGTGGCCCAGCAACCATGGTGCTGACGCTGCCCCAACCCCTCACCCCAGGCCAACTCCTGGAACCCCCTAAGTACGCTGCCCTCCAGAAGCTGGATGACCCCAACGAGATCTGTGCCTATGAGGCCATCCCCAGCCCCCGGGTCCCGCAGGCAGAGGACGTACGTGCAGCGGTCGGGCTCCCCGGGGCCAAGGGGTCCCTTCAGCCAGGGTGGGGCCGGCTCACGGGATCTGGCAGGGTCCCGAGGCCAACGACAACCCCAGACTTCCAAGTCACATGCGTGGTGTGGGATATGGCCTTGACCCCTATGACCCTGAGTGCCCCTGTGCCCAGGCCCAGACCTGCATCCAGTTGCTGACCCTGGTGTCCCGCGAGTGCAACGTGCCCAAGGAACCCTTCCCGCTGAGCTGCCAGGCGGACATGGCCATGTGTGCCCAGCCTGGCCGGCACCACTGCAGCTGTGCCACGCTATCCGAGTACTCGCGCCAGTGCAGCATGGCCGGCCAGCCCGTCAACAGCTGGCGGGGCCCTGGCCTCTGTCGTGAGTCCTGGGGAGGGTCGGGGGGAGGGCCAGGGCCCCAGACACAATGCCCCCAATCTCCCCTTGTCTGAGAGACAGAGAAGACCCAGGTGGAGGAGGGGCTGGCCTGAGTCCTCGGCCAGGGTGGGGTGGGTGGCCAGGCCCTGGGCGCCCGACCCCTCTCACGAGGGCCACACGGGCCTGCAGCTGTGGGCCAGTGCCCAGCCAACCAGGTGTACCGGGAGTGCGGCGAGACCTGCGTGCGGACCTGCTCCAATCCACGGCACAGCTGCTCCAGCTTCTGCACCTTCGGCTGCGTCTGCCCGGAAGGTGAGGACAGCTGCTCCCAGGACCCCTTGGAAAGGAGCCCTGAGACAGGGCATCTGCTCCGCCCACACCCATGCTCGGAACCCCCAGACACTCTGCGGGGACTTGGCCCGGGGAGGGCTCTACCTTCACGTTGCTCACAGACGCCCCGGGCCACGGCCGCATGTGCCAGTCCGCGGGGAGTAAGGTGGTAGGCAGAGGCGGGGTTTGTGCTGGACAGGGCCCGCTGCCCAACGAGGAGTGGCACCTAGCACGAGGGGGCGGGAGGCGGCGAGGCAGGCGGGGCTGAAGGAGGAGGCTCTCCTGGGGCACCCCCAGCGCCCCCCGCGGGACAGGGTGGGGGAGGGGCTGCCCAGCAGGAGGGCGGGAGGGGTCTCCGCGCCCACAGCCCCAGGAAGCCCCTCTCCCACAGGTATGGTTCTGGACGACATCTCCAAAAACCACAGCTGCGTGCCCGTCCCCCAGTGCCCCTGCGTGCTCAGTGGGGTGGCCTTCGCCCCTGGGGAGGTCACGACAGCCGCCTGCCAGACCTGGTGAGCGCAGGGCAGCAGGAGAGGCGTGCAGGCAGGCTGGGGGCAGGGACGGGGATGCGGCGGCCTCAGCCCTGGGGGCCATCTGGGTCACGCCTCCTCGCCCACAGCCGGTGCTCGGGGGGTCGCTGGGAGTGCGTGGAGCAGCCCTGCCCCAGGCGCTGTGCCCTGGAGGGCGGCTCCTTCGTCACCACATTCGACGCCAGGCCCTACCGCTTCCACGGCACCTGCACCTACATCCTCCTCCAGGTAGGACGCAGCCTCCGCCTGGGGGCCGCCACGGCGGGTCGCCGTGACAGCCCGGGCCCCCTGTGCTGAGCCACCCCTCCTCCCAGAGCCCCCAGCTCCCCGACGGGGGCTCGCTCATGGCCGTGTACGACAAGTCTGGGTACTCGCACTCGGAGACATCGCTGGTCGCTGTCATCTATGTGTCCAGCCAGGTGAGGCCACCCCGCCTGCCACCTGCGCCCACCCAGGGCCCCAAGCAGATGCGTCCCAGCTCCCCCTCCACCCTGCCTGGCCCCAACTCCCAGCCCCCCGTAACTCAGCCACCCTCCCTGCAGGACAAAATTGTGATTTCTCAGGACGAGGTGATCACCAACAACGGGGAAACCAAGCGGCTGCCGTATGAGACTCGTACGTCCTCAGCCCCCACCCGGCACCCGGGGCCTCACGAGCCGGAGCCGGCTCCCAAAGCAGGCCACCTGCTGAGGCCCCTATCCCCTCAGGCAACATCACGATCTTCAGGCAGACATCCACCCACATGCAAATGGTCACCACCTTCGGGCTGGAGCTCGTGATCCAGCTGTGGCCGTTGTTCCAGGTGTACATCACTGTCGGGCCCCAGTTCAGAGGCCAGACCAGAGGTGAGTCCCTCCCCCGGCTGCCCCGTCCCCACCCGCTCGGCCACTCCAGAAAAGGAGGGGCCCAGCAGAGCCCTGCACTGACCCAGGGCGTCGGGCGCTCACGGCCCAGGCCGGCTCCACCTGGCCGGCTGGTCCTCCCAGGGGTGTAGCCAGCCATGGCCTCTCGTCCGGGGTGTGGTTTGGGGAGAAGACGGGCTTTGGGGAGGGCGGGGCAGGACAGGGGCATGGGCCAGTCCACCCTCACGTCCGGCCGGCCCAGGGCTCTGTGGCAACTTCAACGGGGACACGACGGACGACTTCATGACCAGCATGGGCATCGCCGAGGGTACCGCCTCGCTCTTCGTGGACTCCTGGCGGGCAGGGAACTGCCCAGCCGCACGCGAGCGTGAGATCGACCCCTGCTCCATGAGCCAGCTCAACAGTGAGTGCCATCCGGGAGGGCTGCAGGGTGGGCGGGAGACCCCGGTGGACGGCTGACTCACGCCGGCTTGCCCCCCAGAGGTGTGCGCAGAGACCCACTGCGCAGTGCTGGTGAGGAAGGGCACAGTGTTCGAGAAGTGCCATGCCGCCGTGGACCCCAAGCCCTTCTACAAGGTGGGCGGCCCTGTGGGCAGCGGGGGCAGGGGGTGGCACAGGGGGCACCCTCGGGGTCCTGGGTGGGCACCCATGGCCCCCGTCTGCCCACAGAGGTGCGTGTACCAGGCCTGCAACTACGAGGAGACCTTCCCGCACATCTGCGCCGCCCTGGGCGACTACGCCCTCGCGTGCACCTCACGGGGCGTCCTGCTCCAGGGCTGGAGGAGCAGCGTGGACAACTGCAGTGCGTATGGGCCGGCGGGGCTGGTGCCACCCACCACACCCCCCCACCGGGCCTGACTCCGGGTCCCCCGCAGGCACCCCTTGCACAGGCAACCAGACGTTCAGCTACAACAGCCAGGCCTGTGACCGCACGTGCCTGTCTCTGTCCAACCGCGAGGTCGAGTGCCACCCCAGCGCCGTGCCCGTGGACGGCTGCAACTGCCCCGAGGGCACCTACCTGAACCACAAGACTGAGTGTGTGCGTGAGGCCCAGTGTCCCTGCCTCCTGGACAGCTCCAAGTTCATCCTGGCCGGCCAGTCCACCATGGTCAATGGCGTCATCTGGTGAGCAAGGGGTCCGGAGGGCGACCGCCCGGCCTGCAGCCCAGTCCCGGCGGCGCTCACTGGGCCTCTCTCCTGCAGCCACTGCGTCAACGGGCGGCTGAGCTGCCCGGCACAGCCTCAGACGGTCTTGGGTACGTAGCTGCAGCTGAGGCTGGTGGAACTGGACTGTGGGTGCCTTGGCCCCTCTGGGCCCGCCTCACCCCATGCCCCTTGTCTCTGCAGCAACCTGCTCGGCCCCCAAGACGTTCCAGTCCTGCAGCCAGTCCTCGGAGGACAAGTTCGGGGCAGCCTGCGCTCCCACCTGTCAGATGCTAGCCACCGGCACCCCCTGTGTAAGACTAGGTGGAGCGAGGGCAAGAGCGCTCCTCGGCGGGCAGGTCCCACTGCCTGGGGTGCCGGGGACACCCTGGGTTAGACGTTCCCACGGTGGACGCCCCCACACCTTCTCCTTGGCCCACAAGAAGAGTCCCACAGACCCCTCATGAAAGGCGGGCCATGCTCCATCCCCACCAGCCCATGATGCACGTGACAAGTGGCGTGGCCGCCGGGTGTGCTCCTTTGTGGGCTCCCTGAGGACTGTGGGCCCTGCCAGCTTGGGGTGGGGGTACACCAGCCCAGCCATGACGCAGAGGTGATGCTAAGAGAAGGCCCAGAGCAGGATGGACGCAGGGAGCAGGTCTGGGGAGAACGCTGGGGAGTCTCAGAAGGTCCCAGGGCTGCGGCAGCAGCAAGCAGGGCCAGCCTCCAGGGGCCACTGACCCTCCTCCCTGCAGGTGCCCACCAAGTGTGAGCCTGGCTGTGTCTGTGCCAAGGGGCTCTACGAGAATGCCAGCGGGCAGTGCGTGCCCCCCGAGGAGTGCCCGTGCGAGTTTGCAGGCATCTCCTATCCCCAGGGCGCTGATCTCCACACGGACTGCAAGAGCTGGTGAGCCGCAGCCTTACCCGCAGACCCTGCTGGCCCAACTGTCCTTGAGCCCTTGGGGCAGGCAGGGGCCCCTACCAACCCACGAGGTCAGGGTCCTGCGGGGATGCGTGTGCCCCAGTCACCCAAGAATGCCCTGCTCCTCCCACAGCATCTGCTCTAGGGGGACGTGGACGTGCCAGCAGAGTGCCCACTGCCCATCTACCTGCACCCTCTACGGGGAGGGCCACGTGGTCACCTTCGATGGGCAACGCTTTGTGTTTGATGGCAACTGCGAGTACATCCTGGCCACAGTGAGTGCTGGCCTGGGCCATGGGGGGCCACAGGGGGGCCATGGGGGGCCTGGGGGGCCAGGGGGGCCACAGGGCCGGCTCCTCCTCAGCGCCATCTCCCCACAGGACAGCTGCGGTGCCAGCGACTCGCAGCCCACCTTCAAGATCCTTACAGAGAATGTCGTGTGTGGGAAGTCGGGCGTCACCTGCTCACGGGCCATCAAGATCTTCCTGGGGGTGAGCAGGCGGGCGGCCTTCCCAACCTCCCCCCGGGGCCCCAGGGCCTGGCCTCTCGGGGCCCTCATGGCCCTGTGCCCTGGCCTCCACGCCCACATCACGGGCAGCAGTGTCCCCGGAACTGGACAACTGTACAGCAGGTAGGGGTTCTCCCACAAGCCTGACCCTCAGCCCTCGACACAGTTTCCAGCATGTTCTGGAACCTTCTGCCGACAGAAGGCTCTAGAGGGCAGACCCCCCAGGCCAGTGCCGGCCCTGCTATGGAGAGCTCAGGCCGGGAGGCAGAGCCCAGTGGCATTCAGTGGCCACCCAGGATGTGGGCAGGCATCCTGTGACAGCCGCACCCCACAGGGCCTGTCCTTCATGCTGGCGGATAGGAACTACACAGTCAGGGGGGAGGACCCCGGCGTGCACTTCCGGGTCGAGGCCAGCTCCCTGCACCTAGTGCTGGACGCCACCATCAGCAGCACGTACAACCTGACCCTCATCTGGAACAAGCACATGACCGTCTTCATCAAGATCGCCCGTGCCTCCCAGGTACCGCCGCCCCTGCCCCACAGCCCCAGGGAGTAGTGGGTCCCTGCCTGCCGGCCGCCTGACACCAGCCCCCACAGGACGCCCTCTGCGGCTTGTGCGGCAACTACAACGGGGACATGAAGGACGACTTCCAGACACGCAGCAAGTACCTGGCGCCCAGCGAGCTAGAGTTCGTGAACTCCTGGAAGGAGAGCCCGCTGTGCGCGGACACCACCTTCACGCTGGACCCCTGCAGCCTCAACACCTTCCGTCACTCCTGGGCTGAGCGCAAGTGCAGCATCATCAACAGCCAGACCTTCGCCGCCTGCCACAGCCAGGTGCCCCCCCAAGTGCCCTGTCCTGCCCTGGCCGGCGCCCCGGGCTCCGCGGCCAAGCCGTCAGGGGAGGGGTAGCCGGGAGGAGCCTGGCCCCCGCCCTGACGCTGAGGGCCGGCCCCCGCAGGTGTACCGCCTGCCTTACTATGAGGCCTGCGTGCGCGACACGTGTGGGTGTGACACTGGCGGGGACTGCGAGTGCCTGTGTGACGCTGTGGCCGCCTACGCCAAGGCCTGCGTGGACAAGGGCGTGTGCGTGGACTGGCGGTCCCCAGACTTCTGCCGTGAGTCCTGCTCCTGCCCAAAGGCCTCCGCGGGGCCACAGGCGGAACGTCCGGCTGCAGCGCTTTCCCCGGGCAGGGGGCGGGGGGCGGGCAGCACCCCCAGGGAGGCAGAGGCACCCTGAGCCCGCTGGCAGGTGCGGGCTCCTGGGCCAGCTCTGCCGCCTGACGGTGCCCTTCCCCGCAGCCATCTACTGCGATTTCTACAACACCCACACGCAGGTGGGCGGCAGCAAGTACCAGTACACCCAGGAGACCAACTGTACATGGCACTACCAGCCGTGCCTCTGCCCCGCGTGGCCGCAGAGCTTCCCGGGGACCAACATCGAAGGTACTGGGCGCAGAGAAGGAGACGGGAGGAGGGGCAGGCCTGGAGGGATTGGGACTGCTGGCGGGTGGGATGGGGGGGTGTGGGGACCCAGGAAGGCACCTGCACCTGGGGATCGGGGGAGGGGCCCGAGCAGGCCTGGGGAAGAGGGGCTTCTGGCTTTGGACACTGAGTTCTGGCTGTTCTCTGCACGCCCCCCTCAGGCTGCTACAACTGCTCCCAGAATGAGTACTTCGATCACGACAAGGGGACGTGCTTGCCATGCAGTAAGCTCAGTCCACGGCCCAAGAGCCCCCCACGCCCCCCCCCAGAGCTCGCAGCTCCTGCCCAAACCTCTGGCCAGCCCCCCAGCACCCCCACTCCCCAGGGGCACAGCCAGAGACACAGGGAAAGGGATTGGCCCTCGCCTCCCTTCCCCTCCCCAAACATCCACTCACCCAGCCTGCAGCCACGGGGCATACCCAGGCCCCGCCAGCCTGCTGGGGTGTGTGGGTGCAGAGCAGGGACCTCCTGGGAGTTCAGCAGCAGGCAGCCTGGTGGGCACTGGACCCTACCTGCAGCTACCCTTGGGCAGCACCCCAGCTGGCCCCTCCACTCCCTGCCAGGCCATCAATGCAGAGGTGGGAGGAGGGGAGAGAAAACGGGGAGCAGGGGTCCCGGCACTTCTGCGGTAGCTCCATCCCCCGTGTCCTCTGCCTCACACCCTGGGGACATAGCCAAAGGCTCTGAAGGGCCCAGGGAGGCGGAGACGGAGCGGGGAGGCAGCACCCCCGACCACCCCTCCTCTTGCAGCGTCGTCACCCACCGCGCCGCTGCCCACAGCAGGTGACTGCACACATGCAAGGTGCCAAGGTGAAGCAGGCTCTCTCCCAGGGCTCTTTCCCAGCTCCACCAGCCAGGCTGCAGCCAGCCCAGCCTGTGTCTGTCCGCCCAGCGGCAGCAGCCAGGCTTGCGGGTGTGGGGCAGGGCAGGGTGTAGCTGTGCTGGCCCTGGGCTGCTAGGCACCGTGGGGGCAGCAGGTGCTGACCAGGAAGTCAGACAGGAGGGGCTCAGTAGGCCCCACTGGGCCCTGCTGCCTGGCCACCAAGCACAGCAGGGCCAGAGGACACCTGCCCTGAGGGCTGCTGCCCAGTCCGCGTGGCTTGGGAGCCCAGCAGGGAAGTGAAGGGCTCCTCCCAAAGGGTGTGCCAGAGCAGCTCCCTACCCCACAACAACGGCATGTGTGCCACACTCAGGCTTGCACAGCACGGAAACCAGGCCCACCACAGCCACGGCCAGCACCACAGTGACCCCCAGCACCACTGAGCTGAGCTCCACCAGACCCTTGCCAAGCTCCCCAGCCACACCTGAGGCCCCGACTCAGACACCCAGCCTTCCGGCCACGCCAACGGCCACAGCCACAGCCGCCACCACCCAGACACAACCAACAGTCCCCCCAGGAGGTAAGGCCCCCGGGCCAGGGCCCCAGGGTGGGTGAGGAAGCACCCATGGCAGTGCGGACGGGGCTGAAGGGGATGTCGGGCGCTGTCCCCTGCAGAATCGCCTCAAACCACCTCCACCGTCACCACATGGGCCACATCAGCGCCAGCCACCACGGCCACTCGAAGGCCAACAGCCACGGCACCCACCGTGACCCGGGCCACAACGCAGCCCACAGGATCCTCCCACGACACAGTCACGCGGTCCACAGCTCGGTCCACGGCGCGAACCACAGCAGCCCTGCCAACATCACGGACCCCCACAGTGTCCCCCGCAAGTAAGCATATGCCACCACTGCCTGTCCCCACAGAGGGGCCTCGGGGGGCAGCCCCAGCGCCCAGCCCAAGCTGTGTGGGGCCGCGTGGAAGATAGCAGCCTTGGGCCACCCCCACGACCACACAGGGCCGGCTCAGGCCCGAGGGAGGCGGCAGCCTGCCTGGCTCAGCACACTCCTCTTTGCACATCTCCCCCGCCACGGCACCCAAGCGCCCATCTACCATGGCCACCCCCACCAAGGGAATCCACAGGCCCCAGGGGATGCCAGGGCTCCAAAAGGCCCCTGACCCAAGTGCAGGCCCTGACCCTGGGGCAGGGCCACACACCTCCAATTCCCCTGACAGCAGGCGAGAAGAGAAGCCCTTTCCCGAGGCCAGCGGCAGGGGAGCCATGCAAGGATAGCTGAGCCCACCCAAATAACGGCCGCCCTGAGAGTAGCGTTGAGGGGACAGAGCCATGCAGGGCTGCTGGGCAGGGACCCCAAAACCCACTACAAGCAGCTAAGAGGCAACAAGGTCCACAGAGAATGCCGGGGTGGGGCTTGGGAGAGGAACCAGATAGTCATTCAGAAAACTCCTGGACACACCACCAGGGACACACAGAAGCCACATGTGAGGAGGACGATGTGGAAGGTGTGGGTGATGAATGGGTCACACCCCAAGGCAGGGTAACGAGGAGGAGTGAACTGACCACCACTGTTTTCTACAGCGTTCTCAACACACCGTTGGACCCCTGAAACCCCCCTCAGCCAGGAGACACAGCAGACGGACCTCCCACGACCCCCGGAGAGCACCACAGGCCACAGCACAATGCACACCACTCCACTGTCAAGAGCCACCACTGCTACGGCCGAGGCGAACACCAGTCACACCACACACTCTGCATCCAACCCCCTAACACACACCGCCACGGCCACACCCCCCATGCCACACACCCCTTTCACCACTCACTCCACCCCCACCCTTTCTGTCCTCACTACCACCCACACAACAGGTCCACCTACGGGAACACCTTTCTGGACCACCACCACCTACCCCACCCCATCACACTCAGAGACCCTTCCCACCCACGTGTCAACATCTGCCACCTCCCTCGTGGCTCCAACCTCTCACCAAGTCACCATGCCAACAGAGTCCCATGCTACCTCCTCCACCCCAAAGCCAACTGGCACCCCACCCACACTGACACACATCCCTGTCACAGAAACAGAGCTTACACCCACAGCCCTGCCACTGACCAAGACCACAACAGGGACTGCCACACCCACAGCCTGGCCACTGACAAAAACCACAACAGGGACCGCCAAACCCACAGCCCCGCCACTGACAAAGACCACAACAGGGACCGCCACACCCACAACCCTGCCACTGACAAAGAGCACAACAGACACTGCCACAACCACAGCCCCGCCACTGACAAAGACCACAACAGAGACCACCACACCCACAGCCCCGCCACGGACAAAGACCACAATAGGGACCACCACACCCAGAACCCCACCACGGACAAAGACCACAACAGAGACCGCCACACCCACAGCCCCGCCACGGACAAAGACCACAATAGGGACCACCACACCCAGAACCCCACCACTGACAAAGACCACAACAGGGACCGCCACACCCACAGCCACACCACTGACAAAGACCACAACAGAGACTACCGCACCCACAGCCCGGCCACTGACCAAGACCACAACAGGGACCGCCACACCCACAGCCACACCACTGACAAAGACCACAACAGAGACTACCGCACCCACAGCCCGGCCACTGACCAAGACCACAACAGGGACCGCCACACCCACAGCCACACCACTGACAAAGACCACAACAGAGACTACCGCACCCACAGCCCGGCCACTGACCAAGACCACAACAGGGACCGCCACACCCACAGCCCCACCACTGACAGAGACCACAACAGGGACCGCCACACCCAGAACCCCGCCACTGACAAAGACCACGACAGGGGCCACGCAAGCCCAGAACTCGGTCAGCACAGCCGCAACCTCCACTGTCCCGGTATCACACTCTACCTCAAATGCCCTCCATGTAACCACGTCCCCACGATTCACCACCATCTCCCTTAAATCCACCAGTAGAGGCGCAGGGACCCCCGTGACACCCCCCCCCATGGCCACCACCACTGGGCCACACACCCCCTTCACCACTCACTCCACCCCGACCCGTTCTGTCCCCCCCCCCTCCCACACAACAGCTCCATCCACGGGAACGCCCTTCCAGCCCCCTCCCACCTACCCGATCCCATCACACCCAGAGCCCCTTCCCATCCATACGTCAACATCTGCCACTTCCTCAGTGACTCCAACCTTTCACCAAGTCATCACCCAAACAGAAGAGTCCCATGCTACCTCCTCCCCCCCAAAGCCAACTGGCCCCCCACCCATATCAACACACATCCCTGTCACAGAAACAGAGCCTACACCCACAGCCCTGCCACTGACAAAGACCACAATAGGAACCACCACACCCACAGCCCCGCCACTGACAAAGACCACAACAGGGACCACCACACCCCCAGCCACACCACTGACAAAGACCACAACAGGAACCGCCACACCCACAGCCCCGCCGCTGACAAAGACCACAACAGGGACCTCCACACCCAGAACCCCGCCACTGACAAAGGCCACAAGAGGGACCGCCACACCCACAGCCCCACCACTGACAAAGACCACAACAGGAACCACCACACCCAGAACCCCGCCACTGACAAAGACCACAAGAGGGACCACCACACCCACAGCCCTGCCACTGACAAAGACCACAACAGGGACCCCCACACCCAGAACCCCGCCACTGACAAAGACCACAACAGGGACCTCCACACCCAGAACCCCGCCACTGACAAAGACCACAAGAGGGACCGCCACACCCACAGCCACACCACTGACAAAGACCACAACAGGAACCACCATACCCAGAACCCCGCCACTGACAAAGACCACAAGAGGGACCACCACACCCACAGCCCTGCCACTGACAAAGACCACAACAGGGACCACCACACCCAGAACCCCGCCACTGACAAAGACCACGACAGGGGCCACGCAAGCCCAGAACTCGGTCAGCACAGCCGCAACCTCCACTGTCCCGGTATCACACTCTACTTCAAATGCCCCCCATGTAACCACGTCCCCACCATTCACCACCATCTCCCTTAAATCCACCAGTAGAGGCGCAGGGACACCCGTGACACACACCACCATGGCCACCACCACTGGGCCACACACCCCCTTCACCACTCACTCTACCCCGACCCGTTCTGTCCCCACCACCTCCCACACAACAGCTCCATCCACGGGAACGCCCTCCCAGACCACTACCACCTACCCCATCACATCACACCCAGAGACTCTTCCCATCCATACGTCAACATCTGCCACTTCCTCAGTGACTCCAACCTTTCACCAAGTCATCACCCAAACAGAAGAGTCCCATGCTACCTCCTCCACCCCAAAGCCAACTGGCACCCCACCCATATCAACACACATCCCTGTCACAGAAACAGAGCCTACACCCACAGCCCTGCCACTGACAAAGACCACAATAGGAACCACCACACCCAGAACCCCGCCACTGACAAAGACCACAACAGGGACCACCACACCCCCAGCCACACCACTGACAAAGACCACAACAGGAACCGCCACACCCACAGCCCCGCCGCTGACAAAGACCACAACAGGGACCTCCACACCCAGAACCCCGCCACTGACAAAGACCACAAGAGGGACCGCCACACCCACAGCCCCACCACTGACAAAGACCACAACAGGAACCACCACACCCAGAACCCCGCCACTGACAAAGACCACAAGAGGGACCACCACACCCACAGCCCCGCCACTGACAAAGACCACAACAGAGACCAACACACCCACAGCCACACCACTGACAAAGACCACAACAGGGACCACCACACCCACAGCCCCGCCACTGACAAAGACCACAACAGGGACCACCACACCCCCAGCCACACCACTGACAAAGACCACAACAGGGACCGCCAAACCCACAGCCCCGCCACTGACAAAGACCACAACAGGAACCGCCACACCCACAGCCCTGCCGCTGACAAAGACCACAACAGGGACCTCCACACCCAGAACCCCGCCACTGACAAAGACCACAACAGGAACCGCCACACCCACAGCCCTGCCGCTGACAAAGACCACAACAGGGACCTCCACACCCAGAACCCCGCCACTGACAAAGACCACAAGAGGGACCGCCACACCCACAGACAGACCACTGACAAAGACCACAACAGAGACTACCGCACCCACAGCCCGGCCACTGACCAAGACCTCAACAGGGACCACCGCACCCACAGCCCCACCACTGACAGAGACCACAACAGGGACCACCACACCCAGAACCCCGCCACTGACAAAGACCACGACAGGGGCCACACAAGCCCAGAACTTGGTCAGCACAGCCGCAACCTCCACTGTCCCGGTATCACACTCTACTTCAAATGCCCTCCATGTAACCACGTCCCCACCATTCACCACCATCTCCCTTAAATCCACCAGTAGAGGCGCAGGGACACCCGTGACACACACCACCATGGCCACCACCACTGGGCCACACACCCCCTTCACCACTCACTCCACCCCGACCCATTCTGTCCCCACCACCACCCACACAACAGCTCCATCCACGGGAACGCCCTTCCAGACCACTACCACCTACCCCATCACATCACACCCAGAGACCCTTCCCATCCATATGTCAACATCTGCCACTTCCTCAGTGACTCCAACCTTTCACCAAGTCATCACCCAAACAGAAGAGTCCCATGCTACCTCCTCCACCCCAAAGCCAACTGGCACCCCACCCATATCAACACACATCCCTGTCACAGAAACAAAGCCTACACCCACAGCCCTGCCACTGACAAAAACCACAATAGGAACCACCACACCCAGAACCCCGCCACTGACAAAGACCACAACAGGGACCGCCAAACCCACAGCCCCGCCACTGACAAAGACCACAACAGGAACCGCCACACCCACAGCCCTGCCGCTGACAAAGACCACAACAGGGACCTCCACACCCAGAACCCCGCCACTGACAAAGACCACAAGAGGGACCACCACACCCACAGCCCCGCCACTGACAAAGACCACAACAGAGACCAACACACCCACAGCCACACCACTGACAAAGACCACAACAGGGACCGCCACACCCACAGCCCCGCCACTGACAAAGACCACAACAGGGACC